GGCACAATTATCAAATCGAGATATGACAGCGACTCTTTTAAATAATTTAAAATATTTTACCAGTAAACATGCCACCGAAAACATAGGAGCCAGTGAATTACAATTTTTAACTGTTTGGGTGTTTGGTGATTTGGAACAGAAGCTGGGAAGAAATCTGTTAATAAATGCATTGGAATATCTAAAAACCGCAAATAGTATGCGTGTTGCCTTCATTCCAAATATTGAAGATCAAACTTTCAAGCCAAATAACTTAAATTACTTAGTTTGGGCTGCTATGCATTCGCTTCCTTATAATGAGGCTACGGATACTGTATTATCGTGGCTCAAACTCAAAAATGATATTCAAGATATCCCAGCCAGTACAGTTGAATATTTGTCATCCACGGAGCTTCACATAAAAATGCTAAGAGTTTATTCACAACGTGTTTTAGGACTTCGAAAGAATGAGCAACTTATCATAGCAAATGGCAAAAAAATAGGACCTTTTCAACAGAATGATAAATTTAGTGTAGATGATTATGGCTTAATTGATCGTTTTAATGCCTTACAGTATGGAGATAAAATCCGAAAGGTGCTTGTAGAGAGTAATTTAAATGATACCGATGATAAAATAACAAGCGATATGTTATTGAAACTTTATTGCAGTTTAGTACCGCGACAATCCAAAACTCGTTTTCATATACCATATGACGCGAAAGAAGAGTATTCCGTTCTAAAATTGAACCCCAAAATCAAAGATTTACCATACTTTGATGTTAATGCAGTTGTGGATCCAGCATCTCGCAGTGCCCAGAAACTTGCACCAATACTCATATTATTACGAAATACTTTTAACTGTCAAATGAGAGTATTTTTAACACCCGTAAGTCAACATAGCGATATGCCTATAAAAAACTTTTATCGATATGTGATCGAACAAGAACCTCAGTTTGAACCACATGGTAGGATATCTGATGGACCTATTGCTAAGTTTACAGGATTACCTGTTAACTCATTATTAACGCAAAATTTGCAAGTACCTGAAAATTGGCTTGTGGAATCTGTGCGTTCTGTCTATGATTTGGACAACATAAAACTAAATGAAATTGGTGGTCCTGTTCATAGTGAATTTGAGTTGGAATATCTTTTGTTAGAAGGCCACTGCTTTGATGCTATCAGTGGTGCGCCACCACGAGGACTACAAATTGTTCTTGGTACAAAAAATAGTCCAGGCGTGGTTGACACCATCGTCATGGCAAATCTGGGTTATTTTCAATTAAAAGCTAATCCAGGAATTTGGGAACTTCGGCTACGAGACGGTAAATCTGCTGACATATATGATATTACACATGCAGAAGGACTAAATACATTGTATAGCAACCAATCTATTAAAATTGTTATAAGTTCGTTACGTTCCCACGTAATTAAAATTCGTGTTGCTAAAAAAACAGGTAAGCAAAGTATGGATTTGCTTGGTGATGAGGATGATCAATATCAAACAGGAATATGGAATTCTATAGCAAATTCATTCGGAGGTTCAGTCACCAATGTACCTGAAGATGAAACAATCAATATCTTCTCGGTTGCTTCAGGACATTTATATGAACGACTTCTTCGTATTATGATGATTTCTCTACTAAAACACACGAAATCACCCGTTAAATTTTGGTTTCTAAAAAATTACCTATCCCCTCAATTTACTGATTTTTTACCACACATGGCGAAAGAATATGGATTCCATTACGAATTGGTTCAATATAAATGGCCTCGTTGGTTACATCAGCAGACCGAGAAGCAGAGAACTATATGGGGTTATAAGATTTTATTCTTAGACGTATTATTTCCACTTAATGTACGCAAAATTATATTTGTTGATGCCGACGCAATTGTACGAGCAGATATAAAAGAATTATTTGACATGGATTTAGGTGGAGCACCATATGCATACACACCATTTTGTGATTCTCGTAAAGAAATGGAAGGTTTCAGATTCTGGAAACAAGGTTATTGGCGAAGTCATCTAATGGGAAGGAAATACCATATTTCAGCACTTTATGTTGTTGATCTGAAACGCTTTCGGAGGATAGCTGCTGGTGATCGACTACGTGGACAGTACCAAGCCTTGAGTCAAGATCCCAATAGTTTGTCAAATCTGGATCAAGATTTGCCAAATAATATGATCCATCAAGTTGCTATCAAATCACTTTCAAATGACTGGCTTTGGTGTCAAACCTGGTGTAGTGATAGCTCCTTAAAAAATGCAAAAGTAATCGATCTTTGCAATAATCCACAAACAAAAGAAGCTAAACTTACTGCTGCCCAACGCATAGTTCCTGAGTGGAAGACGTACGATACTGAAATTAAAAAGCTTATGGCTCAAGTAGAAGATCACGAGAATATAGCTGAACATGAAAATTATATGCAAGGTGAAAAATCTCGCATTTCAACTTCAGGTGATGGTAGTGAATCAGGTTCCATTAAACATTCTGAATTGTGATGATTAAAAAATATCCAAAAATCAAGTGAGGCGTAGAACAAAAATTGAAACGATATTTAATTTATTTAAACAATTTAATAAAAAATATATATGGAAAGACAAATAACTATAACATTGTAAATATTTTTATCGTTTTAAGAAAAATATTTTTGTAGTGATCCTTTTTCATACATTTTCTTAACGTCCGTTCCACCACCAATAAATTTGCCGTCAATGAAACAACGGGGAACCTAAAAAAAATTGTTTGAATATAAGATTATAATTTTTATTAAGTAAAATTATGTTTTTTTTTACTTATATTTATGGTGTCTTTTGTGTTAATAACTTCTCTTTTAAGTGGAAAAAAATTTTCATTATATACATTTTCAAATAGGTTACAAGAAAGTTATAAAACAAAGTTATTAAAAGTGGTTATAAGCCACAGAATATATTTATACAAAGATATTAGGAAAAACAGTATAATATTAGCAAAATAAATTTTATCTGGCACTGCCAAATCCCTACACTATTTCAGTTAATTTTTGATGTATCTATTATTTATGAGGTTTTATGCAGAGTCAGAAAAGGTGACGACAAATAGATAGATGCGCAGACGAAGGATTTTTTTTATTATTGATATTAAGTAATAATATTTCAGCGGAAAGGATAAAACTTTTATTGCTCAAACTTTTTTGCACCTCACTTTTATTTTATTTACTCATAGTATCATATATGTCACGAAGAGAACAAAGTTCTGATTTTTACCAAAATTCGGTCATTTGTGTGGCCTGTTAGTGGAAACAGTTGCTTATTTCGCCACCGTCTATATCTGTTTTGTTTATTGCCCGTCTTATTTATATGTTTATATATGCAGATACCGTCGTTTTTAATCCTTAATGATAGAGAGAGAGAAACTCAAGTAAAAAAATAAGTAAAGAATAAGTTTTGTGAGAGTCGACAAAAATAATTCCTGTCGACTCTGTCATGAGGAGAAGTAAACATCAGAACATATTTAATGCAACTGTCCAGCGTCGGCAAGAGGTAGACATGACTACCTTGGAAACGGGATCTTAGTCACAAATCAAATATGTGAAATGAAGCCCACAGCAATTACGATATTTATAAATAATTAGAATTGTTTTAGTTGAGCCTTTAGACCTACAATAGATCTTTTAGGTCGGGTGCATTCGTAGTATATTATTTAATAAATAAATAAAGTAAAAAAACAAAAAATAATGTCACAAAGAATTTGGTTGGGATTGTCATAAACAGCGCTTTTCCAAGACTTCACCTAAAAAAACCATACGGCTACTAGTAAGATATACATCGTAAATCAGGACATAACAAATGTTGGAAATAAACAATATTCGCCTGCAAAACAAGAAAATAATAAAATATTTGCAAATGTATTGCCAAATTTCGAATATAAAAATTGGTGTCATATTGAAGATAAACGACGTCTTAACCTAATTTATTCTTCATAACACGTAACCATCTGCAGGTTGGTTACGTGGAAAATAGAGTTAAGTATTTCAGAAGTTTTTTGTGTTTCATGAGTGGATATAACATTCGTAAACAAATTCAGACAAAACTATTTTAGGCATATTTTTTCCCAATAAGTACATAACCAATCTAAATATTTTTATGTTAACCATCATTTTTTTTAACATTGACACTCTTTGATTTGTAGTCAAACATATCGGACACCCTTTTCAAAAGAGGCGCAACTCGAAATTCGTCAATTTTCAGAAAACGCAAAAAATGTTAAACAGCATAGTGTCATCCCAAAAAAAAAGAAATATATGTTTTATAATGTTTTTTTCGAAAATTTGCAATAATTAAAGCAAAGTGGAATTTTGCGTGTTGGTAGACAGATAAACTATAAGCATACATTAACTCCATACATTAACTCAAAATTGAGGAATTTCAAGTTGCGCCTCTTTTGAAGGTCTGCGATATGTATATTGACATGAAATGCATTCTCGATCGGCTTTGTACCGCCCTCGCAATGCTTAATGTCTATTTATTGTTAAACAAAAGTCTAAAATTCAATTTAATGAATATTTCGTAAATTTAAAGTTAATTTTCAATACCTATATTCGACATATCTTAAATAAAATACTGATAAGGTTTTTATTATAATAGATTTTAAAATACAAACTGCTAGAAGGAAAATATCAATTTAAATTTGCATATAACAAAAATCATAACTTCTCATTTGGACACCCGTAAATAAGTTTAGTTTTTTACTACATCAACATATGGGTATTACTTACTGTTCGACTTCCAGTGATTTCCCCAAGTATGTTTTGAATTTCATCAGCATCGTTACGCTCATCTAGTTCAATTACGGTAGGGCTTACAGAGAGCTTTTCGAATTGCTAATGTAAATGATTTTTAATTATACTAATTGTACAACTATGAATTCACAAACCTCTTTAGCCATCGTACAATAAGGACAGTAGGTTTTTGAAAATATTACTACTTTATTGCTTTTAATTGCATGCTGCACTAAATCCGCTTTTGGAGAAGTCATATCTACTACTGGATTTTTTAACAATGTACTTATATTTGAACCCATATACTTATTAAGCTTTAGTTTCTAAATTATAAAATAGCAAACTTGCCACATAAACTTAATATGTCGTATGGACGTATAAGCATTGCCAGCTGTATATTATGCCGCCTATACACAGAGAATTTGAATGAAGAAGTCATAATAAATTCAATATTGCACTCTCTCAAATTATACACCCCGCCAGGAAGACATGCTGGGCTTCATAATATACTTTTATAAAATTATTTAAATAACTTATTATCAAAATTAAGTGGAGCTCTTATTACAATGAATCATCTAAGTGGTCACAGACACTATTAAGTAAAAGTGCTTTAGACACTAATGCCTTAATTAATTCTGTATTAGAATTATTTGCGTACAAATTAGTACCATTTCTAGATTTTTCTAAAAACAAACTTTTTGGAATATTTGCTAATTTTTTTTTCGTATGATTTGAAAACCACGCATCAGAGATCTAATGTTTATATACCAATCGACAGACTTTTCAAAATTCTATAAGTAATATGCATTTTTGTTCAATTTAATAAACTCTTTTTAATATTTTTTTATAAATAACAACGCAGGTTTACATGATCATGTTTCCAATTGATTGCTCATCAATATATTAAAGTATCTAACAATTGTCGAAATGAAAACCTGAAACGATAATATAAACACTGAAACAACTTCAGCAAAGTTTGTTGACTAAAGTTAGTAATGTAAACCCCGCATAGCTTACGTTTGATAAATCAAAGAAGAATAATATATTATAATATACTTGATAACGCTAATAGTATATTCCCATTTAATTTAATTCGGAAAAAAAATTTGATATATGACACATGAAACAAAATATAAGTAAACAAAAAATCAACAAGAGGTGAGAATTTCTTAAAATGTTTGTTTTTTTTATTAATTTTGATTTTAAGGTCAATATAACGGTAGTGACTATTTTTCTTAATAGAAACTATTGTATTTAATAGAGAGGTGAACTAAAACAACAAAAATTATTTGTTCATATTATTTTAATTAATTGAATATTTGGCTAACCATATAGCCGTTTCCAGTATTGCCAAATACTCATCATCAATAGTCTTCTGAAATTATATCTGAGTTTATTATAATATACGAGTATTTCGGCTTAATACACTTCTCGTCATATAAGTTTACTACTCTTGTATGGTTCATGCTTCAGCTTAAGAAAATTATCAAAGTGTAGGCTTTTTCTTTAGTAAGCATATCTCAAAAGAACAACTGCTTATTTTAAAAATAAGATATGAAACAACAACACTGCTGGCTTATTTAGTCCAACCTTTTTGAATTCGCTTAACTAATAAACAGCTCAAATCGTATGGCTGCCAAGATTAAAAATTAGTCTATTGTGAACGATTTTTGGAAGTACCTACGAAATTTCCAGGTATCTGTCAACGAATGATTTCGCTAATTATTCGTTTTTCGTGTCGTCATTAGCTGCGTTTCAGCAAACATGATCCGCTCAATTTTACATGCAAAACAAAAACAATGGGGTGAACCAGCAATTGATCTGGTTCACTTTCTGGTTCAATGTGGAATGTATGTAAAAGATAAAAGTGGAACGTATTTTAATGTAAATGAGGTTGGCAATGCGATGCAACAGTGTAGTAAAATTATGAACAAATCTACATTTATATTTATTTATTATTGATTTTATTTATTTATTATTTATTTTATGTACTTATTTATTTAATATGTCATTATTATTTATTTCTTTGTTTGAAGTAATGTTTTAATTATTACTATTACTATAAATTAAAATGATTAAAATTAATTAAAATGATTAAAATTAATTAAAATTATTACTTTAATTATTTACGTTTTATTATTATTAAAAAAGTGTTGTTTGATAATTTATGAAAATCAATTAATTTGAAATGAATATATAAACATTAAGTTGAATACATTTATTTAATTAAAACAGAACAATACATAAGGAAACAGGCTCTCCAACATACACGTTTATAAAAAAACCATTGCAAACTGCTTGCAAGTTTAAGCTATATTCATGCTTCCTTTTGAAATAAGCCTAATTGCTTTGGTGAGGTGCATTTATTTTAACATGTGTGCTGTCAATCACGAACGGAAATTTTGCAATTGATATAAGCTAAACACTAGTTCTTTCAATTATTCTCCATACAGAAGCTTTTGGTATGCCAAAACAAATACCAAATTCGCGAAAAGTATTTATATTTGCCATATACCACAAAAATATGTAAATTTCCTTCATTGCTCTCGTTCAATTGTGACCACCACGGTTATTTTGTATTTGCTGATTGGATTTTATTAACAAATCTATTAAAATATGAAACATAATTAATATATAGAAATTGTATATTAATTTTGTACACAAACCCAACTGTCATATTTCATGCGTTGCCAATTATTTTCAAACGTGATCCGTATCGTTTCAGCAAAGATGATCCAGATCATTGAGCGGATCATGTTTGCTGAA